AGATAGATACTGTGCCCCACCAGGTTAGTCCTTCCCGGCTGTGTCCTCAGAAGTTCAGGGTAACTGTGTAATACATCCATCAACTCGACTCTTTGTTTTTCCTCTAGATGGTCTACACTCACCACTGACTGGAACCTTCTCGGAGTATCCTCATCTAACTTGTCCTCTTCCTCTTCTTCTGGTGCATCCACCTTACAATTAAGCATAGCCTTCTTCATCATAGGCTCACGTTCTCGCCATTCTTTTAAGAGGTTGGCATGGTAGATTTGACTCTTTTTCCCTCTGTCAGGGTGTAGTACTTCGTAGGTTACAGGTCCAGTCTTTCTGAGGATGTCATAAGGTCCCTGCCATTTCGCCAGCAGTTTATTTGTGGATGATGGTAGAAGCAATAGTACCTTCTGTCCAGGTTGATATTTGCGCTGTCTGGACCACTGATCATACCACAATTTCTGAGCTTTCTGGGCTTTCTCCAGGTTTTCTTGTGCTTGTTCGCGGTATGTGTCCAGTCGGTCCCTCATCTGTAATACAAATCTGACAATGTTGGTCTCTCCTTCTCCTACAGTATTCGGTGCTTCCCAGCTTTTCCTCACAAGCTCCAGGGGTCCTTGGACTCGCCATCCATAGAGAAGCTCAAAGGGTGAGAACCCTGTAGATGCCTGTGGCACCTCACGGTAGGCGTAAAGCAGAAAAGGCAGCCATTTGTCCCAGTCTTTCCCGGTGTCGTTCACAAACTTTCTCAGCATCCTCTTGAGGGTTTGATTAAACCGTTCAACTAAACCGTCAGTTTGTGGGTGGTATGGACTTGTCCGAATCGGCTGAATGCCCAACTGCTCATGTAGTAACTTCATAAGGCTTGAGGTAAAGTTTGTACCTTGATCAGTTAAGATCTCATCTGGGAATCCAACCCTGGAAAACAGTTGTATTAGTGCTGTTATTACCTTTGCTGTGGTGATGCTACGTAGAGGGAAGGCTTCTGGGTAGCGGGTGGCATAATCACAGATCACTAAAATGTACTGGTTGCCTGTGCTGCTTTTTTCCAGAGGCCCGACAATATCCATCGCTATCCGTTTGAAGGCAGTGGTGACCACTGGCAATGGATGCAAAGGAGCTCGTGCTGACCTGCGAACAGAACTGGTTTTCTGGCAGACAGCACATGTAGAGCAGTATGTGTGTACGTCAGTATACATGGATGGCCAAAAGAAACATGTACTGATGCGATAGTATGTTTTCTGATGTGCTAAGTGTCCTGACCATGGGATGGTGTGTGCTAGGTGCAAAATCAGTGGTCTGCAACATTCAGGAACAACAAGACGTTTGACACCATCAGACAAGACATACAGTACATCATTTTCAACTACATACTTTTCTGCCTAAGAATCTCAATTGTATTTGCCCCCTCACATACTTTGTTAAACAAAGGTCTTAAGGTAACATCATCAGCTTGTAACTGGGCTATGTTGGTTGGAATGTCCCAATCAGTAACGTGCAACCCCTCAGTTTTCTCTTTTTGTATGGGTGAACCCAACTGTTTTTCCATGCGGCCTTTCCACCGTGACTTCTTAGTTTTTCCCTCCCCTTGAATTAAGCTGTCATCCAAGTTTGGTAGGGGTTCTAAACCCACTTTAGCTTGTGCACGTGTCAGTACAGGACATGAAACACCAGAAGTAACATCTGTACACCCATCAGTCTTATTTAACAGTTCACTCACAATTGGTAGATCCCATCTAATACCATGTCTACGGGTAACCCTACTACCAGTCCAACAGTCATCAAATATGGTTGGTCCTTAATTAGAACAGTTATCTCAGTGGTAGGGTAATTTTTCTGGTCCCCATGAACACATAGAATGTTTTGTGTGTGTGTGTAAAGACAATGCGAGTTGCTGGCACATAACATTGTTTTATCAAAGACATATTGCTGCCAGTGTCAATGAGTGCATTCAATGTCTGTCCATTGACCACAACATCTATATGCTGTTTTGCATGTATAACCGTATCTTTCTCATAACCCTCTCTTGGGACATAACAAAGACTTGTTAGTTTGGACTTTCATACGGGACAGTTTGATGCTTTATGCCCTTCTTGTTGGCAGTAAAAACACACAAGTTTTTTGTTAGGAACAAAAGAAACAGTACCTTCATCTCCTTTGTCAGTGTGTTTGGCCCCTCGGTTTGCAGTAGCCCGTGTATGCGTCTGAACTCTGTGTGCATTCAGGTATTGTGTGGCCAGCCTGGCAGCACCTAGTCCATCCATGGGCTCATGCTCTTTCACCCAGGTTCGTACTTCATATGGCCGCACTCGTAGGAACTGTTCCAAGATGATGACTTCTCCTATCTCTGCCTTCGTGCTCCTCTCCGGTTGAACCCAGCGTCGGTAGAGGCCCTTAAGTCGATTATAGGTCTCTGTGGGGGTTTCTCCAGCAGGTGTCACTGTCTGCCGGAATCTTTGTCGGTATGATTCTGTTGAGATGTCAAATTTTTCCAGTAGTACCTCACGAAGATCCTCATAGACATCAGCCCGATCTTCATCCATAGCGAAGTATGCTTCTAGTGCTTTTCCGGAGAGAAGAGGAACCAGTAGACACGCCCACTCTACCTCCGGCCAACCCCAGGATTTTGCCAGACGTTCGTATCGACGGAGGTAGTTTTCAACATCTTCCCCCTCTTGCAACGTTGGCATCCGAGTTTCTGGTCGCATTGGCTGTGGTGGCACTAGTGTCTGGTGCTGAGCAGCTTCCGTTCTCCGGGTGCGGGTGACTACTGGTGTGGGTAGGTCCCATCGCCGGCTATGTAAGGTCTCAGGTGTGGATTGTTGGCGCAGTGTTTCTCGTAGCCCCCGTAGCTAGTAGATGAGACCTTCTTCCCTTTTTTGCTGGCCTGTTAAAAAGGTCCTCATCATCGCTACTACGTCTTCCTCTATGGTGGTTGCAACCGGTGGGTCTCGAGTAGGGCTGGATTTAGCACCCTTCTCACTGGTGACCTCTTCGTCCTCATCCACCGTGTCTCATGCAACCTCCTCCATCGCTGTTTTTTTCTGGGATCTCAGACCCTTCCTTGTCTGTTTTCCTGAATGCACTGATTTTCGACTTGCCATCCCACTTCTGACACCACTTGTTACGGAGACTATTTTTCTCTTCAGGTCCCAGACCTTTCAAATCCTCAAAAATTGGCAGAGTTGAAGTAGCACTATGGTGCAAAGTGTCTTTATTTACAGTGCTCAGTAGAAAAAATCCCCCAAAAATAAAAACCAGCAAAACAAAACAAAACAAAAAAAATATTTACAAGACAAGTAGTACTTGGCTATCGTTTTCTTTCTGCAAATAAAGAAATCCAATAATCAACTTACTTCTCCACACCACTCTACAACCTTACTCCTACAACCCACACCATACTGTGCTCACTCTGCCCTTTATATAGCAGGAGAGACTGGTATGGAATGGCTCATATCATCACAGCAGGTATCAAATAACTATATCTATAAACATTTCATTGATCAACATTTTAATTATATGTATACACTACATTTGCATACTATACAGTTTTACCCCATAACTAATTATTTTTTTATTTTCCAGTTTTTATAAACCACTTTTGTTTTATTAATTTGTTTTTAATCTTTCTCCCCCATACATACAACAAATAGGATCTCCGGCCGGCTGTCCCTTTTGCCCATGCGCAGTGCACGTTTGTGCATAAAATGAACGCGTTAGGCTTTTTGGCCCTTTTGGCATTCCATAGCCGTCATGGCGCAGCCCGGAAGATCGACGAGACGAGACAAACACAAACACAATTGAACAACAGGTAAGTGAATATGCTTTGGATGTATATCGGGATTATTAACTAGAAATGTGTGCGTGTTTGTCTGTATGTATGCGTTCTGGCAGCAGCGCGACTCCAGTGTGCACCCTGTGATCGGCTGATGGTGAGTATGGAGTACAGTGTTTTAATGGATGCGTGTGAAGGAAAAAAGTTTATATGTAGTTCTGCCGCAGGCCAGTGACAATCTCCTTTGTCACAGTATCATATAATGTTCATTGCTTGGTTTTGAGTATCTTATGTGTACAGTAGTTATAATTTTAAAGTGGATTAAAGCCTTTAATCAAAGTTCTAAAAATAATAAACACATTCATTAATTTATTATTGTAATTTTTGTGATCCATTTTAAATATTTACTCAGGTGTATTGTAATTCTGGATAAGTGTTACCTGCAATCCATACTGTCCAGTTGCAAAGTTTGCACAAATTAATTGCAGGATCTGTACAGTGATTTTTAAATGCTGTAACTTTAGCGTGTTATAGTAACAGTTAATCTTAATGTTTGTTTAAACTGTCCAATTGTCCTGGCAATAATTAAAACTGCAAGTAGTTGCAGGTTTAAACTTAGGCCTGGATATTCTTTCAATAAAGCAACAATAATTTAAGTTGTTGTTAGTATTATTACTTATGCTAGAAGTGGTAGTATTAGAACGTTATATGAAATATTTCTATATTTCATCTGATGTCACAAAACATCCTACAAATCCTATAAACAAGCATGTTGTGAGAGTGTAAAAAAAAATAACCGAATTAAAATCTGAGGCTACAGATATTTGTGCATGATGCTCTTAATACATATGTGGATTTTACTGCTCTTCAACCCCCAGGGGCCAAGTAGAGCCCCAAATGAACAGTACAAAAATTCAGATTTCAAATGACTGTAACTTTAAGTGTGATCATCATATCAAAGTGAAAATTGGTAGGATAACTACTCATGCCATGTTTTTACAATAATGTTGTGCACAGTTTTCAGACATATATGGAAAGGTGTAAAAAAGGTGTTTATAAAAAATGTGAACCGTAAAATATAACATTTTAGGTTACTTTTCAGATATGTCATGATGTCTTATACTGTGAACATATCTAACAAAGATTTTCATCCAAAAAACTATTAATATATATATATATATATATATATATATATTATTATTAACAGTTTTTATACTATATTTCCCATAAGCCTCAGTCAATCAGTCAAGGGAATAAGTAAACATGGCGCGGTTATTTGTAGTTTATTACTGCGGACTAAGAGCCCGTCGTTAGGGTTTGAATCTCAGTGAAATGGTCATCTCTCCCCATTGCAACGTTTCACTGTTAATATTATGTTTTATTAACGAGCTGATTATTTAAAAACATACTTTATAACATAATGCACTGTTTTATATGGCTTGAAAGGTAGTCCAACCACAAGGAGTTTTACGGGAGTCAACAGCCAATGACGATCCGACTGTTCAGAGGCGTCAAAATATAGGCGTATATTGTTTTAGCTTCCGACTGAAGAAAGCTTTCATATAAATAATATGTCTGCCTATCTATGTCTATTTTTTATATGTTCATTTATGTATTAAACTGAACCCTAACTGCCCGTGTAACTGCACAGCATTCATGCCTTATTTAGCTAAGGCAGATATAAAAAACTTTTTTTACTCTTTAAGCAAACGATTATTAAGAATAACGATATGTATTTTGTATTTGATAGTGCATAATGTGACAATGTGAAGAAATACAAATTAAATTATTATTTTCTATGTATTTTCTGTTATTAAGTATTAATTCCTTAACACCCACCTGAATTTCCTTGTGGTTATGACACATTTTACAGTAGTAATCTTTAATTAATCTCTGCAATCAAAGTTCACTTCTATTGTGAATAAATGAAAGACAAATTTATAGTTATAAAATTGCATCAATTTTAGCAAGACATACTCTAATGCTTTACTTACCTTGAAGGATTCATACAGGATACAATTCGTTGCAAATATGGCTATTTTTATAGCAAATTTGGTTGGTTAACCAAATAGGAGAAAACTTCTATGATATATATGTATGTGTACAGACATAGAAACTGCATGTAAACATTGAATATACAACTGTGCAAATACAATTCTATATCCAGTTTGGTGTTGATACTATAAAATAATTAATATAATTTAAATGCTTGATACAATTGTTGCACTTTATGTAATTGTATTAAATAAAACATTTAAGTGCTTTGAAAATGGAATTATGTTTTAGAATACAACATCAAATAAATGTCAATTATCCCAGTATGCAAATAAGCAGTCTGAACTTATTTATCAAACACAGTTAACTTTATTTGTGTTAAACATACACACCACTTATAATTCCAAAAAATAACAACAAAAGTAATAATTAATAACAAATATATACAATTTTATAAATTGTAGTGTATCTGAGTGGAACACTGTTATTGTAAATTATTATTATTATTAAATCTAACAAATATTAACAAATATTGCATGTGGATTAGCAACATGGCTGAACTGATAATAACTGTCCTAACAGAACTGTTTTAACAATGGTAAAAGCACTGCTTTATTTATTTATATATAAAAATTTTTACGTGAAACTGTAGAATCACTAAGAAATATACTTCAATATTATTGTTCAACAAATGATGATGGCTCCCAAGAGTCTTTCCACTTGATTCCACTATAACAGAAAAAAAAGAAAAAAAAAAAGAAATACAATTTAAGTCATGCAAGTTCAATAAAAGTAGATTAAAACAGAGGCTGTAACCAATCAAAATGTATTGAAGTATAGCAAGAGTACATACCAGGATGTGCAGGGAGCCCATCTAACAAGGACTTCGAAGTTACCCTGTGCGAAAAAGCAAAAATTAGAAAACAATATTCTGCCCCCAAAAATAACATATGTGTAATGTAACATATCTAATGTCGATGATAAACTAAAACACTGAACTGTCTTTGAACAACACTGAACTGTCTTTAAACAATTAAACTGTGTTTGCATCATTGAATGATAATTTTCCTGTTTATCACCAAAAACTTGCTTTTAAACAATCTATAAAATGCTATAAATAAACAAATGCTATGAGAATAAAGGTAACAAATTTAATCTCTAGAATTAAAAAAGTTGTAAAACATTACATGAAACAAGCAAAACTGGGAAATTATTTATCAAAATCACTTACTCCTTTCATTCTGTTTTTCAATATCCTCTGGTATGGAAAGCTGTTGTTCTCCAGCTGTTCCATGCATTCTGATCAATTGTCTGTTATAAATGAAACAAACAAAAAAAAGAGTACATTACAAAAGTAATAAATACATGGGATTTTACAATTATGTTATTACACCTTTAACACATACCAGCAAAACATCATATTTATGTACTAGATATTGGCCTTTTGATATACTTCACCTTTATGTTTCTTGTCTTTAATTTTAATTAGATAGGTAAATTAATATGGGATAAAATGTTTTACATTCACAACTGTTTAAAAACTCTGGAAATACATTTGCCTTTTTTTCTTTTCGTTGAAGCAGTGGTAGGGTTAGAAGCAGTGGGGTCCAGCACAGGCACAGGGGCGGTGGGCTCCAGCACAGACACAGTGGGTTCCAGCACATGCACAGTCACGATTGGGTCAAGCACAGGCACAGTAGGATCCAGCACAGACACAGTGGGTTCCAGCACATGCCCAGTCACGATTGGGTTAAGCACAGGCACAGTAGGATCCAGCACAGACACAGCAGGGTCCAGCACGGGCACAGTGGGGTCCAGCAAAGGCACAGTCAAAACTGGGTCAAGCACAGGCACAATAGGGTCCAACACAGGCACAATAGGGTCCACCACAGGAGGTTCCAGCACATGCACAGGGGGGTCCAGCACAGGCACAGAGAGGTCCAGCACATGCACAGGAGTGCTGGGTTCTTTTCGTTGAAGCAGTGGTGGGGTTAGGAGAAGGGGTCCAGCACAGGCACAGGGGCGGTGTGTCAGGACACTGGCTTGATCTTTCTCTTTATTTCTCTCTCTCCCTGCTTTTCATTCTTGCAGCGTGCACTCAGCTGATCATTATTACGAATCAGTGCGCACACGGCTTGCTGCACCTGTTACTGGTCTCCATTAATTTCCCTGCTATTTAAGCTCTCCTTTTCCCACTTTCTGGTCGCTAGTGTGCTGGTCAAGCTATCTCGCTGCGTTATCTGATTCCTGTCATTGTCATGCATTACTTCATGTTCTGATTCTGTTTTTCTCTTCTGCCCAGTTTTTGCTCGGTTGCCTGTGTTTTTTCTGTTTCATTTTGGATTCTCCCCGGTGTAACAAATAAGATATTTTTTGTTTTTCTTCTGTTGAGCTCAACAAACAACCAAATGAACAGAGAAGGGTCTCATGACCTTAAGGTTAACTTCACACCTTTCTCCAAATTTCATGTGGTAAAATATAGACACTTAGGCATGACCAAATAGCCAGAGAAGGGTCTCCGGACCTTAAGGTTAACTTTCTCCAAATTTCAGGAGGTAGAATATTGACTCTAGATAATCATGCTGACACTACAAACCTCAAATTAGTGCTTTGTAATCAGAAATAATGTGCAACTAGCTGAGAGTGGAGGTGGGCCTGATCAACTCACACTTCTCTCTTACCTATTAGGCTGACCTTTGGCCAGCACCCAAATTTTGACTGTAAAGGTGAGGGTTTCTTGCTGAAACATTGGAAGCTCAGCCGTGGGAAAAGCGCGCATCGCCCGGCATTCTCGGACACACGTGTTGGTTTTCCAATGTGACTGCAACGGGCTCCCCAGTCTTTGAAGAGGAAAATGATGGCACGTCTCTGAGGTTGTATATACTTGTATCAAATTGCTTGAAGTTTTCATTATCTGTCTTATATTCATGTAATCTCATCTTTATTTCACATTATAAGCCTTTTATGCAATTTTGTTGTATTTTGATTAATGATGTTAATGAGTATGATTCATGATTATTGAATATTATTGTGATAATTGATATCAGCTGTGTGTACCAGCAATAAACAGTTGAATTGCTTGATTAGTATGGTGTATGGACCATTATTGGTGCCTTCTCTTGTCGATTAGCACCACACTTGTCTCCCTTGCATAAACACATACCATACTAAAACCTTTTTGGTATGCTGAAACATTTTACATACTAAAATTTGGGGCATACTAAAACACCCCGGCCAGCCACCTACCTTCGACTTCGCCTGTCCGACGCTGAACTTGACTTTCCTCCGTTATCCCATCTGCCTCTCGATCGATGCTCGCCTGCCTGACCTCTCTTACGCCCGTCGATTTGGACACTGTTGCCGAGTTACCTTTCGCTCTCGCCGAGCGATCTCACCATTTTCATTTGAGTCACGAGCCTTGGCTCGTCATTGTTTTGAAGGGTTAATAAAATCCTTTTTGTGTTAACAGCATTTGCGTTTGGATCCATCTCTCTCCGGGTGTGACACGGTGGGGTCCAGCACAGACACAGTGGGTTCCAGCACATGCACAGTCATGATTGGGTCAAGCACAGGCACAGTAGGATCCAGCACAAACACAGCGGGGTCCAGCACAGGCACAGTGGGGTCCAGCACAGACACAGGAGCAGTGGTGGGGTCCAGCACAGGCACAGGAGAGGTGACGCTAAAGCTATCTGAGGCAGCTCCTTTCTTTTTTCTGTAAATGAACTTTAAAATTTAATAACAACATGTTAAATAGGAATCATTAAAGAATAATAGTTCACAATTATTAGGAAACTATGTGAGAAGTAATGCAGGATGAATAAGAACCTCTACAGCTAGTTTATAATATGACAATCTTCAAAGAATTATCGATAAAACCTTTTTATTATACTTTGGCATTATACTTATACTTCATTATTACTTGTTATTATCTAGTTTAATATTAGCATGTATATTATTACAGTAATGTTAATTTATTACTATTTGAAAATTGGATATTATACATGAACATATTCTACCACTGTAATCCAAGTTTAACAACTACTACTACCTTAACAACTACCTCATTAATTTAACAACTACAGTCTTATTAATAAGCACTAATAAAAAAGACAATAAATTTAAAGTTGTAGTTAACAGTTAGTTAACAGTGAGAACTGGTCTCTAAAATAAATTATGATTAAATAACCAAACTGAAAAGTGAATGCAAGGCAAGAAAACTTCTACAAACTTTTCAATACAGCTTCGTAGACAATCTTCAATCTCTGGAAGAGATCGTCATCTAAAACATGGTCTCCACCAAATATGACATCAGCCACAATGGTTTGTTCCATGTTTTTCCCAAGAAGCAATATTGGGTGGAGGTTAAGAGCAGCTAACTTGTCAAGCTGAAATATTAAGTAAAAAATGCACAAAGAGATTGCTATTAGATAATTTCATCAATGTTTTTTAACAAAAATTTTACAAAATTACCTCTTCTTGTTTTTCATGAAAAATTTCCGCTCAGTGTATTATATAATATTTTGTATTACATTTAACATAATACTGACATTTATGAATGTCAGAAAATCTCACATAAATAACAAAGATTCTAAACATTTTACATTATATTAATATTATTCAGTAAAAAATGTTCCCATATCAATGCACACCTAGGGTTAAACACTTACCAAATGATAACTGCTGTTAACAACTTTAGCTTTGTTGCTGTTTTTTTTAACTGAGGCTGCCTATTTTGTTTTATTTAATTAAAATTTGTCCCTTGCTTTTTGTAATTTTGCCTTGTAAGGCTGGCAAGTCCCACAAGAAGGACATGTTTTACATGCCACACTTATTGTGGCCTTGCAGCTAATGCATGTCTTTTTGGTACTCCCAGGCATCCCTGCAAAGAAAAAAGGGCCAAGATATTATACACAGCACATACACACATTACAATGCCACAATTTACACATTTCTTATTTGCTGGATTTTGTCTTAGCTCATGTAATCAGACTTGTAACAGTCATATTAAAACCACTCTTGTGCAAACAGAAATTTCACTGGATAATAACTACTACACCGGCAAAATGAATGCTTTTAAATTGCATTTCCTTCAGAACACTAAACATTCTTTTAAGTGACATTATACAATTTTTATAAACAAAAATGACAATAACATTTTACAATTCTATTAGTTAATGTTAGTTAATGCATTATTTAACACACATTTACAATGAACAATCTGTTACATTTTTTAAAAATTATGTTACCTAAACAAATTATTGTTTTAATTAGGACATCAGCTAATATTAACTTCACTCAGCATCACAATTGTTGTTAATGTTCTAATGCCTCTTTACATCATTGTTTACTTGCACACACCAATATTACTGTTTGTAGATTGTGTGACATGAGCTAATAATTATAATAACACATTTATTTAGAAATGCAAAATCTTTGTTTAAGTAAACTGACAAATATATAAATGTATAAGTTATTGAATTAGTTAACATGAACAAATAATGTACAAGACTTACTTATGTACATACTAATGCATGCTAATTGATAAATTTTTGGACACATTCAAAATCCCCGATCAAACTCAAAGACAAAGAAGTTCTAAATGGAACCTTTTTTGGTGTTAAAGTGGACGCCTCAGCTTCAACTTGCATGTTGTTCATGTTGTGGACTTTTTATTAACATGATTTATCACTATAAACATTTGTTAAGGGAATTAGGAATTGTAAAGTGTACATTGCTCCAAAATTATCAAATGTGTTACTAAGAATTTTTCATTATTTATGTTTACTAACACATTACATATTAATGTATTAAAGAGCACATTAATATATGTTTAGATAACATTAAAATTAGCATTTTTTAGTAGTTTATTGTTCATTGTTAGCTCATATTAAGTTCATAAATGCATTAGTGTATGTGTAAGCAAACATTAATTAAGCTGTTGATGTGAAAATATGGTAAAGTTAACATTACCACAAATTATGTGATGATAAATAAAATTATTGCTCACCATTTGTTGATATTAACTAATGCATTTACTAACAAATCAATATATGTTTAGTTAACATGTTACATACTGTTTAACAAATGCTTAACTAATTAATTAGATAATTAAATAATGCAATAAGGTTTCATAAGATACTAAAACTTGTTAGTACACAACACGTTTGCTTAGTTTTACAGTATGCAATTACACAAATTCAATAATTGCCAGCATGATTATGATCTATCTACATATGATCTTATGTCTTGACTAAATAAACTAGACACATTAAATACACTATAACATTAATAAAACATAGATAAAACGGAGGCATGCATAAAAATATATTTTAAAGCAGTGCACGTACGGTACATGAAAAATTATTACCTGTGATCACGTTGTTTCTGCATTATCCAGCTCTTTGACGCATGATTCGCTTGCCCCTGTTCTCAAATTAATTAAAATCTTAATTAATCAAAAATGTTTTAAAAGTTTATGGTGTAACGTTAACTCGCCCTTTGAAACGGATTAAAATAAAAAAGGGTTGCCGTTATAACCGTTACTGTTTCAAATGCTTTTAATTAATGCAAATTTAAATCAAGTTGGAATTAAACACTAGTTATTAATTTGTTAGACTCAAAACGTTATGCTTTAAATCGCTCAAAATAATCTTGAACTTATTGTCATTCCAAATGAAAAAAAACTAATTAAACAGGCAAGTTTAAATATAACACATTTGTTAAGAAGAAAACTAGAAAAAAATTAGCATTTCAATCTTATGGTCTTATAATTCATATTTTGATCACCATACGAAGCAAGTAGGCTATCTAGAAATCCTGTACGTTTCAGGAGTACATAAAACCACCTGACTGAAATGTAACTTTGCTACGTTTTATCCATATTATTACTTCGTGCTTTCCTCATATTATTTGAAATAAGATAGACTTACATTTGCGGTGTCATTCCCGGTAATGTGAGAAAAGAACAAAAGATGCACATACAAAGCAATATTTTATGGCCGTTTAATAATAATTTTGTGCTGTTTGGTACGTAATCAACATAGCACGGCGGTTTATATCCCGAGTATATCCCAGCAAATTAGATTGATTGTTGAAATGCCACACGTTTTTCCTCACTCACTTAATAACCATTAAAACCAGTGTGCACTGAGAAGATCGAACCTTAATTTCCTTGTTTTTATGTTTAATAAACAAGCATGACCTGAGTTTTAATACCACTTAGCACCTCTAGGGAATGATTTTTTTTAAAAAGTGCAGGGAAGTGTACCTATTTGTTCGTATTTCTAGTTCTTTAGAAATGTAGTCAGCCTTACATTTTTGTAATGAGCCTGGGTTGTTTAAATTTGTAAAGAAAGCATCACGTTTTTTATGACGATATGTGAATGGCCCCATTAAGAGTTAACCAGACAGATACTGTACAAGCTGTGCAAAATTAAATGCATATTTTGCAAGCTACAGAAAACAAGGAGTTAACCATATTAATCACACTTACAGGTTGTAAATTGGAGGAAGAACAAACTGGTCCATATGAACTACGTATTATAGTTTATGGTGGTTTTCTTCCTTTGACAATCGGCTGATGAATCCATTGTTGCAGGGTAGGTTATTGTATTAATCATCAGAAAAATGACAAGAACAAACACACCACATGGCGTGGATATCCTGTGATTTTGTTTGAAAATTAACTATTTAATACACACAACTGTTTCTTTGGCCATCTTACTATGATAATCATTCATCTTCGCATCATGATCAATCCAACCCCCCGCACACCACTAGTTTTTGAAGGGAAGGGCGGGTTCATGTTTTTTAACAAACAAAATTTGAACCCAAGGCGATTCATATATTGTACTCTGAGTCAACTCTTCATCAATTAGTAGTTTTAAACATGACACACTTTCAGATTTAAACCTCTTTAAGCTGGATGTTTTTATTCACTTAGAGCTGCTTTACACAGTGCATGGAAGGTCATTTTCAAAACCCCATAATAGGGGTTCTTTCATATTGATTTCTGTTGGATTAATAATTTGTAAGACTGTACTAACAAACAAAAAATAATAAAAAGTTGCCAAATAATAGAAAATATTATTTTAAATAATGAGTTAAGAAGCTACCTTCTACCTGTCCTCAGCCAGAGGTGTACACATTTCTGTATACTGTACATGCTTATAAGGTACAACTTATACAAATAGAATTGGCATCATTTCAAAGCAGGAGCTTAGCAAATGGTCATAAAGGCTACTAAACACTTGTATATTCTTTCTAAAGTACGGATGCAAAATACAGCCTATTAAATATTTGAAATTCAGTATTCACTGTGGCAGATCATCTGAACATTGGCTGATTATAACATGTGTGAGTTTTAATTATCCAATATGAAATACAGCAAATGCAATAGTTCCCTTTTAAATATTCATAATGTATATGCACTTTACATTTTAATTCAGTGCATAATTAATGCAAACTTAAATTTTTGTGGGTCTCTGTAACTTTGTTCACTCTCAATGACATTCATGTCCACATCTTGCTTGTAGGTGTTTCCATACATACTTGACTGACGCTTTACATTGCTTTCAGTTTCTGGTCTGTTGAAAGAAAATAATTCCAGTCTTTTAGGACACCATTAAAAAATTGAGTAGATAAAATTATATGTTAAAATCACAATGAAACAAACAAATTATTAATAAACAAAAAAATTTACTAAATAAATGAATAATTTAATTCCTTAAAATGACTCATTCTGAAACTCTTGCAACCTAAGAAAATTAACAATATATATGTTTTGAATATACTTTATATTAAGTAAAACAGGTTAAAATGTGTATATATTTAAGGAAACATACCCAAGTCTTTTTCCCATAACAGTTTGAAGAAATTTTCTGGCAGATATTTGACCAAGAACTTTTCTGTAGCTGTTGGTAAAGATGGCATCAGCATGTCTTCCAAACCTAGAAACAGTGTTTAAAAAAATATGGTTGTGACAGTTAAATGTGTAGGAATATTTTTGGTTTGTTTCAAATATTAACATGGAAATTTGTATTGACATTAATACTAATGTTGCAATTTAGATTACTCCTCACAAAGGGTGAATTTGAGCACAAGATCACATCATGACAGTGCTTCAATTCAATTCACTAAACTTTGTCTGTCCCACAGGGGTAAGAAAATTGACTTTTTTTTCATGTGATAAATCCCTGATCCTTTAAATTTTTACCTAGTATAAATAGTTTTGATGTTTTAAAATATTTATCAAGCAACTTCTCTAACACAATTAAAAAAAGATACTTCATTAAAATGAAGTGTATATAATATATATATGTTATAACGATAAAAAAGTATCAATTCTGTGTTAGGAACTGATTGGAAACAAAGGAAATACATTTCAATGCATGACCTATAATGTATTTATTACTCTAATACTGTACAAATGTTAACTTAAAAGCGTAAAATTGTTAGTTTATTTTTTTATTCTTTGCTGTATTAGATTGAAAGACCAGAGAAGTAAAGTTCACCATGGTCAGAAGTGAACAAAAGACCCTAACCCCATTTCAATGCCAGATTTATATAGGAATGTGTCTCTCTTGTTTACCTGTTATGAACCAAAACGAAAAGGAAATAAAAAATAAAATTTTACAAATTTAAGTAAGTAGATGTAATGTACAGATATACAGATATTCGTGTAAATTTAAAGAGCAATTGCATTGTTGGTGCTTCATGTTGAGCTGATGCTTCCCCAGAGCAAATATATATAGTGGCAAGAAGAGGAATCAAACACAGCACATAGGCTGTGGTTATTTAAACAAAAGCCCCAGAGGATGTTTTATTTACAAAGTGATCCAAATGGTGAGTGCAGTAAAAAGGTAAGTAGGGAGGCTTCTGGATGGTGAGTTGGGGTATTCTTTGGAGAGCGAAAGGCAGAGAAATATTAGTGTCAGGACAATGCTGCGGTCACACTAGTGTTAGTGCGTGCAAAATTCTGGCGCTGCAAAAAGGGTCGCGATTAAACAAGATGATTATACAATCAAAAAAGCAAGCATTTGGTCCATGTTTTACATTTTTGTCCAGAGAGGTCATGCATTTTCGGTCTGACAAAGTCACGTACATATGAATGAAAATCAGTGTGACCGCAACTTAAGTTGGGAGTTTGTATATATATATATATATATATATATATCTTAGTGCATGTGCTGGGAGTGTTGGGTTTGAGTGAGAATTATCACAAAGTGAAGGGTGGTGGTTTCCTTCTGTCAGTCAGATGCAGTGTTGGGGAAGGTTACTTGGATGTAATGCATTACAATATTGAGTTACTCCTCAAAAAAGTAAGTAATTGCGTTACTTAGTTACTTTTTATGTTGAGTAATGTGCTACCTTACTTTTGAGTTACTTTTGCATAAAATTTCTGACCTGGCTGTGGCTTGATTTCTTTCAGAACCTGCAGGTTTTTTTTAAAACAGAGGAGCTCTGGAATTAACACACTGTATAACCTTCATTTACCTTTAAAAACACATAAAAAAGCAATGTAGGATAGTGTTATCTTCGAAAACTTCCTGACCCCATAGCTATACTTGCCATACTCGCATTACATTTTTAAAAAAGTAACTCAAATAATCATTCATTCATTCATTATTTCCCTTTTGGCTTAGTCCCTTTATTTAACAGGGGTCACCACAGCATGAACTGCCAACCTATTCACCATGTTAATGATGGATAAGATAATTCCTTAAAGATTTATCTTATATAAGATACCCTTCCATCCACAACTTAGCACTGGAAAACGCCCATACACTCTCGCATTCACATACATACACTACGGTGAACCAACTTAGCTTATTCAATTCACCTATACCGCATGACTTTGAACTTTGGTGGAAACGGGAGCACCAGGAGGAAAGCCATGCCAACACGGGGAGAACATGCAAACTCCACACAGAAATGCCAACTGACCCAAGTGGAGCTGCTAACCACTGAGCCACTGTGCTGCCACAACTCAAATAATATTACTCAATTTTTAAAAGTAATGTGTTACTTTAGTTACTTAGAAAGTAATATTATTACATAACTTGCTTTACTTGTAATGTGTTACCCCTAACACTGGTCAGTTGTATGATGCCAAATAGGGTGAACGTGGAAAATGTGCTAATTGTAATAGGAGTTAAAAACATTTATTCGTCTTCACGTATAAAAAGCGGTTAGTTTATTTGTGAAGGAAAACAGTCAAGTGAATTATCTTAAAAGCAGCAGAATAGTGGTAAGCAGAGACTTTATCAATTTAGTTTTTGCCTCTGGTTATTATGCTCACTTAAACCAATTGGGTTGTTAAGGTAAACCCAACTATTTGGGTTACATAAATAACTAATTTGTTGGGTTATTATTATTGTTATGATTTTAAAAATTAACAACATTACTGCGATAGAGCTTAAATAAACTGTATAACGCAAAAACAACATCACGTATGCATATTAATACAGCTGTTCTGTGTCAGTTAAATCAGTTGAATGTTGAAATTCAAAAATTTGAACCCAACTGTTTGAGTTTTAAACAAATAACCCAATAAAGGTTCAAAATAACCCAACAGAGCACCAAATATTTTTAACTCAACCATTGGGTTAAATTAATAACCCACCGTTTTTTAGAGTGTAGTAATGTTAAAATATGCCTCATTCATTCAAAACAATGAGGCAGATGCGATATGGGAAGTTGACTAGCTTGATTAAAAAAAGTTCCTTTAAGATGTAAACATGAGTTGTGTAAACGTGTTGTCCTTTAGAAGACAGGTCTTTATGTTCTGAAATGAGCAAGAATAAGATTTATTAGAATTAGTCTATTAGAGTTCTTTTTTTTTTAAACCTTAAAGGGGTGGTCCAGAATGTAATTTTAAGGCTTGGTTGTGTTTATAAGATGCAAAGCAATGTGTGCTTATGTTTCACTTGAAGGAAATCGCGTAATTTTTTCATATATCTCACTTGGATTATACACAGCTACTCAGCTAACATGAAAATGACTGTCATATTTCCTAGTTCCTCTAAAATACCCGCCCTTAAGTGACTCTGATTGGTCATCGTTATAATGTGCTGCTATTGGCGGATCGGCTCCACGTCACGCCCGTAAAAGCATGCATTTTTCTGCTGTGTAAACATGCAGTGAACCTCGCGCCTGCTCTCTAAAAGAAAATTTGACAAGTGTCTGTATCTAACGAGTGAAAATGTCTATGTGTGTGTGAATGTGTGAACTTTCTATAACAAGCGCATGTGTGCGGGACTTTCTTTTTCTTTTTCTCTGATGCTCGGATTAAGTTATTTTCCGTAATATATCATGAAAGAAGAATAAAGCACAAGATGTGGGATGCTGCTACTACTGTACCTGTTGAGCCTTGAATTATTATTCTGCTGCGATCACGAGTCGTGTAAGCTAATCTGTATTTTTTTTAACTCTATGCGTTACATGACGTCTTTCACGAGTATCCGGAATATGCATGTATATGTAATATGAACCATCCACATATCTTTTGCGACTTCATTATCTGAGATGTGAAACACATGGAAAAGCTGCCTGAAGACAATCAGTGCAGCCGTGCGCGCATACACATAAGAGACCGTGCTGGTGGAGTGAGTGTGTGTGTGTGTGTTTACAGGAGTTTGGCTGATAACTATGAATTTGTAGCAAAAATGTTTGCCCGCAAAGCAGCATTTCGCATTGTTTACATCATTGCTACAGCATACCGTTAAGGTTAGACACTGTACATGTCATGATCAAATTTAACAAATAAAAACACTTACTTGTAGCTTACAACTTCTGTTTTGAGGAGATTTTAGCCGAATCCAGCACTGAACTGGGAGAGATTCTGGAGCTGTTTTGTCAAATCATGCTTGCTGTGCATTTTATAATTCTCTGGAACATAATTAATATTGAACTAAAGGCACTTCTGTCTTTGTGTCGTGTCCTTTGGAAGCCCAAATACAGAAGCAAACGAAGCTCTGTGGAAACAGCCGTGTTTAGACGCATTTTTAGCTTCATCTCTGCTATAACGTTACAGCGCCTCTAGCCACGGCCCTTACCTGCATGCGCAGTGTGGGATGTGCAGTAATGAACTTTTGTGATCTCACAGGGGGCGGAAGTATTTTTTTGTAGTCCCCAAAATTTGTTCATTGTAGGCTTTGCTAAGCTAACTCTGTAAAAACCAAGGTCTCCCTTTGCATTGAACTTAGAACTTTTTACAATCAGAGATGTTGTTTATGTTCACACAGCTACATTACACATCAGCTAAAGTTTAAAATATGAGATCGTATTGGACCACCCCTTTAAAAATAAACTAGTCAAGCAAAATTTGATGGCCTACCTCATGTCAATGAAGAACAGAAAAAAGTTCTGCATGATTTAATTACATTTCACAGAAGCTATGATGCTGTGTTCACGCGAGACCCAGAACATGCAGATAAATCACACTATTTGCTCGTAAATAGCCACATAAACATTTGAGTTTACTCGCTACATCCATGCGTCAAATTCACTTCAGAACTGATGCGGATTCGCGTGATGGGCAGGGCTTCTGTCTGCCAGTGACTCTAGCTTCATTGCTTAATGGCTAACATGGATTTTATCAAGAAAGTAACAGTGTAAATCACTCACATTTGACACTTCTTCCGCGTCTGGTGTGAACACAGTATGAGGCAGCTTTCTAACTATTAACGAAGAAACAATAAAATAAAAAAATAAAAAATCAAGGAAATATCAAAACTGTTGAAAATAAAAGCAAAGAAATTTAATTAAATTTAACTTACCGAGATAAAAACAGCAAGAAATAAAACCAATAAAAGAAGACTACTTAAAGCTGGTATTAAAAAAAAAAAAACAATATAAAGAACATGTTACAATGAGAATGTTTATATGGACACCAATAATCCAATTGTAGTACGATCAAGACAATATTGTGATTAAGAGTCGACCATAT